AGGGGCTATGTAATACGTTGGTTGACCGCTTAACTCACAGTTTTGGTAAAGAGTCACTTTTGCCTTGGCCATTGTACCTTCGCCGGGTGGGTGGACTTCTGGGCCATGGCAATAGTTCCAACCACTTTTGTATATTGAATGCATATATTCTGTCCGAATATAATGGCTTCTTTCTGCGTCAGGGAAGTCTTGGGGACGCTACACAAGCATTCATAGGTATATGAACCATCCATTTGACTAGTACGAAGATAAAAGCGCACATATATATAACATTTAATTTTGATGATAAGAACAAAGAAACAAACGCATAATCGTGTGTATATATGTATATTCAATGTGGCTGACAAGAATATGCCTAAAAGATCCTGCATATATGTGTACAGTCAAATTAACTACCTTGAAAATAGATGCACACAAGCAATCACATGCGCATTTATGCCCACCCGGCGTGGTACAAAGGTCAAGTCCAAAGTGTCTCCTCGCCGATACCGAGAGATAAACAATTATCTTATTACCTAGTCCCTCTCCCCTTTCAAGCGTCGTCTCCGGAACTCCCCTTGGACCACCTCCCGCGTCAGTTATCACAATGTAGTCGGTGCCCTAAGGAAACACCCACGAGATGGCCGTGCCAGTCATCAAATTCCTATGCAACTGAGGAGATACTCGACCTCAACGCCACTGACCCCCCTTGGCAATTTAGCTAAAAACTTGATTCGGAAACGAGGAATTGTGCTGGTCATAACGCGTGTCCATAGATAGATGCAGGAACACTGGTCTAAAAGCAGATTTTGTGTAAGGAAGGATGGGATTTAATACAGGTTCATGGAGGAAGGGTTTCGCGTCTGTTCCTCCACTTCGGAGCTGCCCAGTCATATCTATCTGCACTATCCATCTAGTAGAGAAGTGGGAGAGGTATCTCGAATTCACTTTATCAGCAGCTTATTGCAGGTACGGTAGGGGAAGTCTGTAACGAAACTTCCAGAGGTTTCACAGCTAGGGTCGCTTTAGTTGTTAATAGCCTTCCTGCAGAACACGGGACTGGGAGAGATGCCGAAGGCAGACGTCAATTCCAACGCCTCTGTTTGGGGTCATCGCCGATTCTCCCATCCGCAGTATATGTACTTCTTCCGCTCCACTAAGGTTTGCCACGCAGCAGTGAAAATCAGAACAGATGTCTTTTACTATCGGTTTCGCTTTCTGCTGCCACCAATGTAGCGTCCCTAGACTTCCCTGAAGACGAAAGAAGACACAATACAATTTTAGTAAGGCGATAATCCAACATTTCATGGGATTGTTCGAATATACATAAATGTAGCGTCCCTAGATTTCCCTGAAGACGAAAGAAGACGTTATACTCGGGCAGGAGGTATTTGGTCTACTGGCTTGGCCCGAAGGCCAGCCCACCCGGTGTGGTAAAAAAGTCCAATTCAAAAGCGGCTCCTCACCAATACTAAGGGATAAACAACCCTTGTATTGCATGAATAATTAAAAGGCGTACTGTATGGCGTCATGGCTATATGTACGGGAATGGGGAATATAGCGAATTTGAAAAGCCATCATCACATGCATGGGTTCGAGAGTGGAATCAAATGTCTATAAAGGAAACAGAATATCCAAAAGCGATAATATTCGCAAATTAACAATTCACTTAACAGGATAGTCCACCACAAACGCAATTAAGCGAATACAGATTAGATTAAAATAAAATATACTCAAATGCCCACACGGAATAAGTTAATGAACAAATCGAATAATAAAAACTACTACAATATTATTACATGCAATCATATGAATACATGATCAATTGCATTCGGATGTGTTTGCACGCCCACATGGGATAAAATAATTTAAAGAACAATTTAAATTATAAGATCATCCAACACCATCATTTGCAGTGTCAATCAAACGTGTACACGATTGCACATGAATGTGTTTAAAAGTTCACATGCAATATTATAAGAAATTGAATCAGTTAACTACTAAGGTGATCAATCTACAAAAGCAGTGAATGGAATGTGCAAACGACTGAACTCAAACGTTGTTGAAGTCAAAAGTGCGAGATTAGGCGTTAATGAACTATTATGGTAATAATACCGCCCATCATCATTTGCATTCAGTAGAATGCGTACGCGATTGCACGCGAATGTTATTAGAGCCAACGTGCGATGATGTGGGTGAAAGAAGGATTGAAATGAGAAGATAACCAAGCATAATGTGCAGAAATTCAAATGTGTATTCGATTACAATTGAATGTATTGGAAGATAGAATGCGACACTATGCTTGACTATGCTTGAAGGAGTTATTTGGCTAGTGAGATCAATCATCATCTCACGCAGTCATTGGAAAGTTTTACCAGTTGAACTTGTGCAATTGGAAGCATAGCATGCGATATCAAGCCTGAAAGCATTACTAGAATAACATGTGTGGAGCGAGACTCCTCGGTCTCCGCTTCCCGATCCCTAGCGTTCCTAGACAAGCCCGGTTGGTTTACTTTGGACATCTTTATTAAAGACGACAAGATGTACAGGGAAAATACAATATTCAAGAAGGAGGGGAGCCGCAGTCGCTAGGTAAGGGAGAGGGCGATCCAGTTACCAGGTTCGAATTTTCTGCTTCCCTCCTCCCTGAAAGGCACATTAAAACAACATAAGTATTACACATGAATTCCCATCAGCACATGCCAACATTCAAATGCTTAACTGGTTGCAAATGAGCGTTTCTGAAGGCTAAGGTGCAATCTTATGCGTGAATGACTTATTCAGCTAATACAGTATCCATCATCCGATAGCGGCTTTCGGATGGCTTTTAAATTCAGCATGAGATATTATGCGTGAATGATTTATTTAACAAAGAAGATTATCCATTATAACAAGCGGTCATTGGAGATTTTGATAGATTGCACTTAAAAGCCTTCGAAGGTTAACATGCAAAATTATGCTTGAATGCATTATATAGCTAAGAAGATTAGCTATCATCAAATGGTGTCATCCAAAACGTGTAATCCATTGCACTTGAATTCTCGTGAAGGCTGCAATGCCGTATTATGCGTGGGTAGTTTATTTAAACAATAATATTATGCATCATTACATGCAGTCAATCGAATATTTTATTGATAGCGCTTAAATGTTTCTAAAATCTAACGTACAATCTATTCCGTTAATGCTTTATTTAGCAACTGCAGTAATTTTTTATTGTAATCTGTCTTTGTAATTTTAATCGTCTGCATTTGTATGGTTTTGGAAGGCAACGTACGATATTATACGTGTAAAAATATGCGTAATACTTCAGCTTTTTCAAAAATAATCAACATTTGCATGTTTTCACTTGCATATATATTTGATTATGGTTTTAATTGTTTGTTTGCCCGCTAAATATTATATAAACGTGATTGAGTAAATCCAGTATTAACTCATTTCAACATCACATTATTTGATTTGTTGACGCTTTGATTCTCCTATTTGAAGATGTAATTGATTTTGAAGCCTATAAATTAAAATATTTATTTGTCACATAGAAACATTAGCATGTTTATTAGAATGCTCTCAATTGCATTTTCATGCTTCCTTGTATTTGATTAAACAATTTTGCTACAGTGCCAATCCTTTTTGATGCATTCATTTAAATGCATAGTTGAGAGCACCAGATGGGTTTCCTTTTCCCACACTTGTACATATTCGTGAATATACAATATTAGTGATGAAAGAAGTCAACGGTTACCTCTACCATCTTCATGTATTTTCTATTGCAATAGAAGGTGTTAGTATGACCGCATGCACCCCTGTACTTCAATTAACAAGAGATTACAGGATAATCCATCATTTCACGCAGTTG